CAGTGGTCTGACCACGACAGGGGTATGATGTCGTTCCCCCTCAGACCAAGATCACAAATCCACTGCTCCGAGAGAATGATAATTTTTGCAGCAGACAAAACTAGCTTGAAAAATGTATGTGTGTCGGGGTGGGGGAGGGGGAACAGCTCTCACTTCAGCCTTGCCTCAAGGTCGCTCTTTGGGGCGAGGTGGAATTTAAATACCTAATTTTATTCTGTTTGTTTAAAACATTTTGCACAAGGAAAACATCACTGCATGAACGAAAACATCCAGGATACAAATCAAATATCTATATCTCTCTCTATATATATATGGACGCAGTGGCTCAGTGGCTAAGATGCTGAGCTTGTTGATCAGAAAGATCGACAGTTCAGTGGTTCGAATCCCTCGTGCTGCGTAACGGAGTGAGCTCCCATTACTTGTCCCAGCTTCTGCCAACCTAGCAATTCAAAAGCATGAACCACCTTTGGTAGGAAGGGAACAACGTTCCATGCCCCTTCGGCGTTGATTCATGCCGGCCACATGACCACGGAGATGTCTTCGGACAGCGCTGGCTCTTTGACTTAGAAACGGATATGATATAATACACACACATACACATTAACAGTGGTGGGATGCAATTGGTTTAACAACTGGTTCAGTGAGTAGGACCTTTTTAAGCTTCAAAACTTAACTTCTATGTCAGCACATGTAAAACAGCTGATGCGTGGCAATCCCCTGTGCCATGTGAATCAGCTGAGCTAAAAAAACAGGGAAATATAGGACAGGAAACCGCAGGGGTGGGTGGGCGGGGCAAAACGCTCACCAAAACTGGCTGAATCCCACCCCTCTAATATTACAGTAATGGAGCTTCCACAATTTCTAGTGGCACACTGTTCCCCTGGTTAATTGTCCTCACTGTTAGGAAGTTTCTCCTTAATTCTAGATTGCTTCTTTTTTTATTCGTTTCCATCCATTGTTTCTTGTCTGGTCCTTTGGAGAATAATTTGACCCCCTCTTCTTTGTGGCAGCTTCTCAAATATCAGAGGACTGCTATAGTTAAAGGTAAAGGTTCCCATCGCACATATGTGCTAGTTGTTCCCGGCTCTAGGGGCGGTGCTCATCTGTGTTTCAAAACAGAAGACAGTCTCCCTGGTCATGTGGTCGGCATGACTCAACACCGAAGGCGCACAGAAAGCTGTTCCCTTCCCACCAAAGGTGGTTCCTATTTTTCTACTTGCATTTTTAACGTGCTTTAGAACTGCTAGTTTGGCAGAAGCTGGGTCAAGTTACAGGAGCTCACTTCGTTACGCGGTGCTAAGGATTCAAACTGTCAATCTTTCTGATCAACAAGCTCAGCGTCTTAGCCACCGTGCCCCTTGTTAGCGATATTACAGTCTTATTATGTGGCACAACTTCATTGTATTATCTGGAGATTCAATTGGCCCCCGACTGCTGTCATTTCAGAGAGCTTTAGAAATACGGACGCTCGGTATGGAGAGGTTAATTGAACCTGTGAGGCTGATGGCGATTTATGGATGCCTTGTGTTGTCCTCGGTTGTCATGATGTGTTTGACCATTAATTTGTGTTGAACTGCCAACCTTTCTGATTGACAAGCTCATTCTCTTAGCCACTGAGCCACCGCGTCCCATTAAAAAACCACCTTACAAAATGGCAATTTTGGTTCCAAGTCCGTAAGTTGATTACCTGTTGTTCACAAAACCCAGCCGCACCCAGTTTGCATCCTCGTTGCATTGCACCCCACCCGGCATTAAAAACCCCACCTTCTCCAAAAGTTAAGGAGGCTGTCATACCATGACTAACTGTATGTAGTATTTCTCAAAGAGAAATAGAGCGTAATCCAATCCCTTTCTCTTGTAGCTACACAACAAAGATATTCTCATCCCCTTAAACCCTCCTTGGAAACAATCTCTTTTAAAGAGTGGTGTAATTGCTTTTTTTTTTCCAAATCAAAGAGCACATATTTTCTAGTCATTCCTGACTCTAGGGGGCGGTGCTCATCTCCGTTTCAAAGCCGAAGAGCCAGCGCTGTCCGAAGACATCTCCGTGGTCATGTGGCTGGCATGACTCAATGCCGAAGGCGCACAGAACGCTGTTACCTTCCCACCAAAGGTCGTTCCTATTTCTCTACTTGCATTTTTTATGTGCTTTCGAACTGCTAGGTTGGCAGAAGCCGGGACAAGTCACCGGAGCTCACTCCATTACACGGTGCTAGGGATTCGAACCGCCAAACTGCCAACCTTTCTGATCAACAAGCTCAGCGTCTTAGCCACTGAACCACTGTGTTCCATATTCTAT